CACAGAGGCTTGCCTCGTGCCAGGGGTTACGGGGACCTGTGCTTTCGGGACTCCCTGTCCCCAGGACCCACGAAGGTGCCTTCTCTGCCAAGACCAAAGCTGGCCGTTGCCTCTTGAGTGCTCAAGGACTGATCTGAAACCCTTGGATCAGCTGGGTACCCCACTAAGAAGCTCTGTGGTGGCTTGCTGCCCCGTGGTTTGTGCTGCGGCTACAGCTCTGCAGGCAGCCTTTAGCCCCAACTGCAGCTCCCCAACAATTCCAGCCCCAGACGTCCGTCGTATCCTCGCCGTTTTGTAGCGGTGTCCTTTGCCGAGTCACACAGATTCCTGGGGCTCTGTTCTGGTGGTTGGATGTGTGAGCCAGCACCGGCTCAGGCTGCAGGACTTGGGGAAAACACTTTCCACTCCCGCCCTCAGGTTTATTGTGCGTGTGATGTGCTCAGTGCTGGGCTTATTTGTGCGGCAAAGTGATCCCAGGCTTCGTGACGTCAGCGTGAGGGTGTATATTGCCAACCACGTGACGCAGTTTGATCACAATGTCATCAATCTCCTGACCTCATGTAATACGGTGAGTGACTTGGAGCCAAGCGTGGCAGGTCTGGAAGCACCTTCTCTTTTCCACGAGGGGTGCACAGTGGGCTCTTTCAGAATTGAGGTGTTGCCGTGGCTGCCTTTAGTTCTTAATGATTAATCCAGGATTGCACAAGCCTTGAGCTGTTTTTTGTTGTTCAGTGTCACGCTCTTGGGGTCTGCATGGAAAAGTGAAACTGGGCGAGGAGGAGGAACAGGAGATGTTACAGTGGGTGTTGATTTTATTGAAGGAGAGTGGGCAAATCCTGGCATCTGTGTCTCTTTCTGGCCTTTCAGATAGGGGGTGTCGGAAGCAGGGTTGATTGCGGGGGGCTTTCCCCCAGCGTTGTGTGCGGGCAGCTGGCCGTGCTGCAGGGGCGTGCGGGGGGGAGCCGCACGGTGGGGCAGCGGTGCTCGGGTTCTGCTGGGCTGGTGCTGGTGTAACTTTCCCTGTGCTCTTGTGAAATTCCTTCTGGTGGAGTTCCTGCATCCGCAGGCTATGCCTGGCAGTGAGTCTGTTGGTCCTATATCCTGAACGGTAGATTTGCACCTTACCTGGAGAAGAGTAACTCTTGGAAGTCGTGTGTCCTCTGCCAAGTGTGTCAGGAGCCGCTAGAGAGGACACGGGGAAACTCGGTCGTCGCCCAGGGCAGGGGGGAGAGTTGGTTTCTCCGGCACACAGGGCGCAGCCTGAGCTGAAGGATCCAGATTCCCAGGGAACTGGGGCCAGAGCTGTTACTGGAGCCTGGCAGTAACGTGTTTTCTGCTACTAGTTCTTTTGGCCCGCTGGTTGCTCCCTCAGCCCCCCGAAGCAGGAACTTTGTCTGCCCCTGTCGACTGGGAAAGCAGGCCCTGAGGGGAGACAGGGCAGGACAGGGAAGGGCAGGACGGGTGCTTCTTCCTTACTCTTGTTTCCTCCTGCAGCCTGCACTGAACGGTGCCCCTGGCTTCATCTGCTGGTCACGGGGCTTCATGGAGCTGGGAGTGACGGGCAGCCGCGCAGAGCTGGTGGATTCCCTGAAGGTGTACTCATCCCACGGAGGAAACCCACCGCTGCTGCTGTTCCCGGAGGAGGCCGCCACCAACGGCCGGGCCGGCTTGCTGCGCTTCAGGTGCTGGGCGTCGGGGTTCCTGCAGCAGGGCTGTTGTCGCTCTGGTTTAGCTTTGGGGTCATTCACTGCTGAATTCTTCCTTTTCAGCTCTTGGCCGTTCTCAATCTTGGATGTGGTACAGCCTGTTGCCCTACAAGTTCAGAGGCCTTTGATCACTGTGGTGAGTCAGGGACGTAGGGCAAGGAGGAGCTGTGGAGGCGTGCGCTGTGTGAGGGTCTTGGCGGTGCCGTTAACTCTGCTGTGCTTTGGAGCCTGTGGGTCGTGCAGCCTGGCCGCATGTCCTGCCGCCCAAGGACCAGCTTCTCGCTGCTAAAGCTGCTCTTCAAGCGCCTTTCCCAGGGAACCTGGCTAAGCCCACGCTCTCTTAGGTACACTGGTGATTTTGGTAAACGTTTAGTGGCTCAGCTGTCTAACGGTGTGCCATCTGGCTTCCGTGACCATGGCATCGCTGTGTCTCACCTCCTTTCTGTGAGCTCCCTTCTTTTAAAGTGCTTTGAAAGGGTCGCTCCAGCCACCCTGGAGTTGGCTGGAGTGCCAGCGGTTGTGCAAGGCTCGCTGGAGTGGGTTCTTGAACTCGTGTCTCCCAAAAGCAGATGTGTAACGTGATGCAACATTAGCTTCAGAAAAGTGGCAAAGTTCGTGGTGATAACCCTAGTGTTGCCGAATAGATTGCAATAAAACTGCTCTCAGCTTATTTACAGAGTGAGTTTTTGTTGAATTTCTTGTTTCTTGATATGTTTTGTGACTCTGTCCGATTAAAAGACACATTTTATATGTGTCTGCCTTTTTAGTTGATTCTCTTTTGTCTATCTTTTTAAGGTAGTAGGGCACAGTGGGTAGATTTAAAGCCACTTACCAGCAGGTCACAAAACATGGCTGCCCATACTGAAACGTCAGCCTGCAGGGGTTTGTACAGGGAGATTCTGTAGGGATCAGTTCTTCGCCCAGTGCTATTTGGTGCTTTTATCAACACTGCTGCAGTCCCTGCTGGTAGAGTTCAGCCTAGGGAGTCGTGAAGACGCTGGATTATTGGTAGTGGTCTGGGGAAGTGCTGGCAGCTGCCAGTGACCGGCTGCTGCCTGTAAGTGTGATGTGGTCTGTGGGTGCGTAACCAGAGGAGTATTGGGCAGGGTGAGGAACGGAGGGGTAGCTGGGTGTGTGCAGTGATGGAAAGTGCTAAAATAGTGCGTGACACTCGGGTAACCCTGCGGCCAAGGAAGGGGGGCTGTCGTAGAGAGCGTTCAGGGAGGCCGTAAGCGTGGTGCGGAATCCAGGGAGCAGCACTCAAAGGCACTCGGCTTCACCAGCTCATCAGAGGAGAGGCAGAGAGATTGGTGTGGATGGCTGCTTGCACGTTGGAGAAGAGGCTTAAGAGTGGAGAATTCTTTTTCTGCTACTGACAAAGCACACAGCAGCAGGCTTTGCAGGTGCTGGGGCTAAAAGTTGGTACTGCACCAGTTCAGTTTTGGATTAAGATGCCATTTTCTAACAGTGAGGATACTTTTAATTTTTGAACGACTACTCCAGAGAAGTGGGAGAGCTGTCCTGTCTCACAGGGGAGAATGGCTCACCTTTAGGGACACCAGCACGCACATAACTGCAGATCTGTTTAAAGATACTGGTTATTGTCACTTCTTGGCTCAGATTTTTACCTTCAGCGGTCGAGCAGGACTTTGTGCCCTTCAGGCACATTGGCTAAGCAAATCCTGGTGGATTTCGTATGTAATTTTAAACCATCAGAAGCCTCCGCGGGCTGGAGATGAGATACTTTGAATAGTTTGATCGATGCTTTACAGAAACCTTTCTGAGACACTTGTGTGATATACATCAGACCCTGGGCTGAGCAAACCACCAAATTTGGCATTAAGAAAGAATTTTCTCCAGCTCCAGTTGGCTGGAACGCTGGAGGAGGGTGTTGTTCTGTGGCACAAGGCAGCATAACTGAAGTCTGGATATTGGCATCATATAAGGCCTTTGATTTTAGGTTACTTAGATGTGTTTATCCAGGAGATGAGGCTTCTTTGTGTTACCCTTGGTGGCTGTGGTTTCTGGGCTTTTCTCATGTATAGTGCCTCTTTCCAGGCCATGGCATAAACCAGGCACGAGGCCTGTCTTGGACCCACGCTGCTTTGGTCGAGGATGAGGTCAGGTGTAAAAGAAGCTGGGGCAGCTATGTTGGGGCCGCAGATCTTGCGATGGTGCTCTCACCAGCCTGTGGAAAGTTTGGTCGCTGCAGGAGGAAAGTAGCCAACTACAAAAATCCCAGGAATGGTGTCTGTTCAACAGCAAATTCTTTAGAATCGTTGAAGGGTGTAGGTTGGGGGATCCTCTGGATCTTCCTGCTCACAAACTGGCTTCCGAGTGCGGTCCAGCTGCTGGGGCTGTTGGCAGGATGGGGGCCCCTGCTCTGGAGCGCCTGTTCCAGTGCTCTCTGCTGGCAGGCGTCGCAGTACGCCTTGGGGAAAAGGTTGTTTAGTGATTTTCAGAAAAAGGAAGTAATAAATTACAGCTCCCCTTTAATGATTTATCTTCAAAGAGAAGAGTTGCCTTAGACTTCCCAGTGCAGCCGGTTTGGAAATGAAGAGATGAAGCTTACGGGAGCTGGGACGTGACATGGGCTGTTCCCGTCAGAATAATGGAGGATTGTTTGTGATTGTGGGGAAGCTTTAGTAGGTGTTGAGGCATTTTCAGTCCTTTCTAAAGGCACGGTCTAGGAGAGAATATGCGGATATTGAGGGAAAGTCTTGCTGTCCTAGTGGGAGGAGAAGATGGCTCAGAGCAGTGAGAACTTTGGCCCTTGCTCTGCCTGGTGCAGACCAAGGAAGGTGAATCTGCCCTGGGCTTGCCCTCGCTGCGTGCCGGGTCTGCCGTCCCCTCCATCCCGGTCCTCCGCGCTTCTCTGGCTCTGATCTGTCCCTTGCTGCCGTGGCTTCGCCATGTTCTGCTCACCTGCTGCCCTGGGGAGACCCGACTCGCTCGTGTTTCGTGGGGCGTGATCTCATTGTGCTCTCTTCCCCAGAGTGTGGCTGACTCCTCCTGGATTACAGAGCTGCTCTGGACCTTCTTCGTTCCCTTCACAGTTTATCAAGTAAGGTACTATCTCTCTCTCTCTCTTTCATTTGGAGCAGGGTTTAGGGTGGGCAGAGTGCCTGATGTTTTTGCCGCTGCAGTAGGAGATGCTTTGGTACGAGCTAATGCGGACCCTTGTGGTGGTGTCCCAGCACGGCTCTGCCCAGCGTCGTTTGTTCCGTGCTGGGTGCGGCTTCTGGACCAGCCTCTGACGTGGAGAGGGCTCTTGGTTCCTGCACTCAGCTGGTGGAGGAGAGGAGTCTCCGGGGCTCTTGGGTCGAGTTTGCCGGGTGTCTTTCTGAAGGCAGCCGCTCTGCTGTAGTTAACCCCGGGGCTGCTGCGGTCCCATGGGTGCTTCCCTGCGGGCAGCTCAGCCCGCTCATGCCTGCCTCTTCCCTGCAGTCCCTCGGGGATTGCAGAGGTGGTTCAGACACTGGCTGGGGCCCGGGTGAGCCCAGGCTGGCTGAGCATCTTTGCTGTAATAAGGGGTCCACAGGCAGCAGAAGCAGCTCGGAGTCAAATTTAGGGGTCGGGGTGTTTCAGTAAAGAAAAGCCTTGTGCTGTAGCTTTCCCCAGCTGTATCTGGCCCGAGTGTCGCTGATCTGTTTTCTGCTTTCCTGTTAATGGCACTGTCTCCTCATTCGGGGCCTTTCTGGGGACTTCATTAGGAGACGCTTCGTGTGTTACGCTTGAGCGCTAATAAAGATTCAATGAGCTGGTTTTGTCTTCTGAGCTGTGCCTGGCCCTTCATTTTGCAAGCTAGTGCTGAGGTTTGGCACTCGTCCTGTGGGGAGAGATGTGGGGTGAGCAGGGACGGCTGAGGTGGGGATAGCACCTTTGCACTGTTGATCCCAGGTGGGGCTGGCTCCTCCAGCAGCCCTCGAAGCGGTCAGCCCAGTGCTGTTGTCCCCATTCAGGTGGATGCCGTCTGTCCCCAGACGAGCTGAAGAACTGAGTGAGGATTTTGCGCTCCGAGTTCAGGAGGTAGGAGGATGACGTGGGAGAGGGATATGTAGGACTGCCGCAATTTGGGATGGCCACAGAGGAGAGTGGGGTGCAAGCAGAGTTGCAGAGGGCATTTCTGGATGGGTGTACTTGTGTGATGGGAGCTCCGGCCCATATTTATTGCCCCTTACAGTTATTCCGTTTTTCCGTGGCCTATTTGCTACACCCCATTTACCCTTTCTGCCAGTTATCGTGGCTCTCCCCATTAGGTCAAACCTTTCGCTTCCTTTTCGTAGTACCACAAATCAGATAAAGCGGTTGTTTCTCCACCTCTCCCCTATGTGCTGGATGCTCCTGCACCAAAGTTCTCGTATCTCCCTGTCAGCCTGTTTTGGCAGGACGGTGATGCCTGCTCCTGGTCCTTCATGTGCTCCATGCGACACTGAAATGCATCACTGAGGCCCTGGAGAAATCTATTCTTGGTCCTCTTCCCCCCGCCGTAGCTCCACGCAGGCCTGTACATCTTGTGCTCCCCTGCAAGTCAGGAGTGCCTGGGTCACGCGTGTTGTGTGTCCTGTGCGTGGGATGACTCTTCTCTACGTTTGTGCAGCTCTTGGCCATGGAGCTGGGTGTGGTATCCACACGGCTCACTGCAGCAGATAAGGCTGAACACATGAAGAGGCTGCGACACACGTCGCTTCTCCCCTTTGCTCCAGGTGGGTGTCCTGGGCAGTGTCCTGACTATGGAACTGCCCCTTTGGCTTTGCCTTGGGGAGGCCTCAGCCTGCTCTTGGTTACTGATGCGTGGGGGGAGAGGAGGGGCCATGTTCGACGTCCTCCTGGGGAGCAGGGGCCGTCTGTGTGCTCGGGGCTGGGGGTTGTAGCTGGCTGCCAGGGAGGGGACCACTGCTCCTGAGCATGGACGGGATGGTTGCGTGCAGGAGGTCTGGTTGTTGTCCCCATGCCGGCTGGCCCCAGTGAGAGCGGAGCTGTGGCAGCTCGAAGGCTGCACCCCGCTAGGCCGCCCTCTCATGCCCACTGTTCCTCCTGTGCAGCCTCCAGCCAGCCCCTGGCAGCCCGGCCCAGGGTACCCCCCAGCCCGGCGGGGGTTGCTCCTGAGGACGTGCGGATCACGGCGATGGCTCAGCGGGTCAAGGAGGTGCTGCCTCACGTGCCTCTGGAGGTCATCAGGATAGAGCTGGGTAAGCGACGCGTGGGGCATCAGCAGGGGCGCAGGGTCGCCTTCCCTGCCGAGTCTCGTGATCCCTGAAAGCAGAGACCTTGTCCCTGCTGCGCTGCGGAGCACAATGGCAGCAAGGATGTGTGTGTGTCCTGGTGTAGCAGCTCCCTCTCTAACAGCCCCTCTGTCCTTGCAGCCCAAACCGACTGTGTGGAGACCACCATTGCCAACTTGCTGGAGGGGAGAGTACCCTTCTTCTCTGAAAGTAAGGAGGCTGGTGCTGACCTGCCTGCTCCCTCCGCCGCCCAGGCTGCAGCTGCTTCTGGCATCCAGGGCTCCGTGGTTCTGCCTTCTAAGGTACTTTTGGTGGCTGTGTTGTCTCCTATGGGCTGATGGCTTGCAGCCAGGGCATGGTGGCCTGTGTTCAGGACCAGCCGTGGTGTCAGGGGAACGGAGCGTTTTGGAGTGGAGACCAAATTGGTGTGCTGGGTCCCTGCAGAGCCACTCAGGAGGTCTCCTGGCTCTGTTTGCCTGTCTCCTGATGGCTCCTGTGCTTTCTGTTCCAGCCAGCTACAAAGCAGTTTGCAAAGTCCCCTGTGGAGCGGCATCTGTCCCTGCAGGAGCGGAAACGAGCGTTGTACGACTATGCCAGGAGGTGAGAGTCCGCCCCCACCTCTGCCCTGTCAGAGCCCCAAACTGCCATCCCCAGCAGTGCCCAGATACGCCCCGAGCAAGGGTCAGCCCGTGCTTTGCCCCCTGTCCCCGTGTTCCTCTCCTCCGGCCCAAGGCAGTCGGGCTGAGGCAGGAGAGAGGGGGCAGACACTTGTCTGCTTCGCCCCTTCCACGCGCGCAGCCCCGTGCCATCCCTGGGCAGTGCTCTGCCTCCTCAGTGGCCACGGGGCTTCGGGCTTGGGCGACTGGGTGGGATGGAAGAGCTGTTTGCCAGAAACCAGCTGCTGAGGAACAGGGCTTAGCCAAAACCCCTCGTTTGGTTCTTTGGCGTAAGGGACTTGACCGGTAGAAGTCACCGTGGGACTAGAGGTTTCTCTGAAATTAGTATTGATGCTACGGAACGTTCATTTAGAAAGAAGTCTGCTGCTTGGCCACAGGGACAGCGCAGTTAGTCTTGCTCCACATAAGTGGAGAAGTAGAGGGAGCAGGGAGCGAATTTGGCCTCTGTGCAGGGTTTTGGTGAGGCAAATAGTGGAACAAGTGTCCAAGTCTGGTGTCTGGGTGTCTTTTTTAGAAGAGAGACAGAAAATTCAGAATGAGTTTGTAGGGGAAGTTCAGTCTGCTAAACCTGGTGTACGTGAGACGGCACATAGGTGTAATTCTGGGTGAAGGAACTGGGTTCTGAAGGGCTGTTTCATCTGGCAGAGAACAGAATAGCAGCTGATGGTTAGGAGCTGTCGGCAGGCAGCCTTGCACAGTGACGGGGTAGTTGTTTCTGAAAAGGACGTGGATTAATCGGTGCAATAAGCTTCCAGCAGAAACGATGGCTTCCCAGTGCCTGGGTGTTCCCCAGTGAGCCTGGCTGGACCCTTAGATGATGCTGCAGAGGAATTGCATCTCGGGGCAGTCCTGCGGCCCAGGGAATGTGAGACCGTCTTCAGAGCTGCCCCCGGCCTTGTAACGTCGGCACAGACATGGCAGAGGGCTCTTGCTGGGTCCACTGGGCGTGATCTCTCCAACAGCAAAGAAAAGAGGGTGGAAATCCTCTCTGGTGGACACCCCACCTGATTTTGTTGCTCTTCTGTGTGCCTGCCTTTTACGTCCTTTTTCTGAGGCTCCTCTGGCTGTAGAGTAGTGATCTCTGTACTTCCCTGAGAGGGGGGATTTGGAAACGTGATTGCTCCCCATCTTCACTCCGGAGAAGGGCCTTCCTTGCTGTCCTGGGCTTGAGAGCAGGTCCAGGTCTGCCTCAAGCACTGGGTGAAGCCACAGCCCCTATCACTTGGCCATTCCGAGCTCAGGAAAGGTTCGCAGCTCGGGGCTTGCTGGGTGCTGTGTTTCCGTGCATCCCTCTGCCCAGGCTGCCGGAGGCGCTGGCGGTTCACAGCGAGGCCTGGCTGTTCTCGGGGGAGGATTGGGCTTTCGCAGCACGGTTCATTCCCAGCCGGCCGGTGCTTAACGGCAGCATGCGCAGGAGGTGGTGGAGGGTGGACATCTGTCAGCTGAGGGTGGTGGTCGCAGGAGTCTGGTGGTCTCGCAGCGTCCCCTCTTCGTTCTCCCAGGTGGAGCCTGTCGTTGGTCTGGCACCTTTTCCTGCCGCTGGGGAGCTGTTGTGCTTAGGTGTCTCGTCCAAAGCGAGGCGTGAACCTTGGCTTTCACGGTTGAGGACAGTCACAGCTTCGTACCAGCAGCCCCCCCCGCTGCCCGTGTGCTCTCTGGCTTGCCCAGGGGGAGCACTTGGCCGCAGGCTGGTGCCGTGCCTGGACTGGTTGAACTGGGAATGGCCG